TTTCCCGCTCCCTTCCCTTAAGGCAGGCACTCCTTCCTCTCTCCCTCCTTTTTCCTTCCCCACTCCCCTATGGCAGACACTGAATAAGAGGTAAGCTCATGCTTGCTCCCTCCCCACTCCAACATTGGCTGCCAGTTCCTGTCCCCTTTGCTCCCCACTCTGGTACCAGAGGGGATTGCTGACCTGTGGCACAGCCAGACTGCAAGCACCAGGCCCACCACCCCGAAAGGTTGAGTGCCACTGGTTTAAAACGTCCTGGTGGGTTGTGGTGGTGATGCCAGGTTCCAAAGGACATGATGGGGGCAGGACCAAGCTAAGGGAGGGCTCCTATGTATTGACCTGACCAAACCATTCATAAATGCAATGAAATGCCATTCTCTGTGTCCCTAGCAAGGAGAGGAGATGGAAGCATGTGAGGAGCTGGCTTTGGCTCTGACAAGGGGTCTGCAGCTGGACACCCAGAGAAGCAGCAGGGATTCCTTACAGTGTTCCAGTGGCTACAGCACTCAGACCACCACGCCTTGCTGTTCAGAGGACACTATCCCATCACAAGGTAAATGACGCTGAATTTACTTACTGCCCAGGTGCTACACTCCTAACAAGGGCTATCTCAGGCCCTGCCCCCTTGGTACTAAAGGATTTGGATTCAGGAAATGAAGCTCTGTTGCAGGGCCAGTAATGGGACAAGGGAAAAGCTCATTTTATTTTGCTGAAGGGCTTTCAGGTATAAGTGTGAGCTGAATATTAGCAATACATCTATCTCGCAAGGTTCTCAGCCCTTTTTAAACAAGTGCAAAGTCAGAGAAGTAGGTCTGGAAGGGACCTCCATAGGTCATCTAGTCCAATCCCCTGAAGCAGGATTATCCCTATACAAAACATCCTATACAAGTCTATCATCCAATCTCTTAGCAAAACAACAGTCAACCATGGCGTAACACAAGGCATAACACCCTAACCCACCACAGGTAAAGCAGGGAGACCACAGCGACCAGCCTCTTGATGCTGTAAAAGGTTGTTAATACATGCTCGAGAGATCCCAGGAAGAGGGCCGTGTGCCCTGCTACCGAGGAAGGCAAACCCCCCCCACAGCTTGTTTGTCTGACCATGGGGTAAAATTCCTTCCTGACCCCAAACATGATGATGCTGAGTGGAAGAGCAAGACTGTCTAGCCAGGAACCTTCAACTTTAAGCCCCAGCAAGAGAGCGTTGGCACACTCCAGTCAAAATCCCAAGCCTTGGCTACAGCCAGCGCACAGTGCATTTGAGGAAGACTTAAAAATACAAAACAAAAAACCCACAAAACAAAACCCTGCTACATGGGCTGGGAGGGAATTCTCCCCACTACCATGTGGCAAACAGCAAAGCTCAGAAGCATGGGAAAAACCCATAGCAGAACATAGGCATAGCTATGTCTAGATCCTCTCTGACCAGGGACTCTCTTCTTGAACACCTTCAGTAATGGAGATGCCACAACTTCCTTGGGCAGTCTGTTCTCCTGGCTCGCTGCTCTGACTGGAAGTTCTTCCTGATATCCAGTCTAAACCTGCTTTGCTGAGACTTCAAGCCATTGGTCTGTGTCGTCCTCTACAGCAAGAAAGAAAATGTGTCCTCCCTCTTCTTTATGGCAGCTCTTAAAGGTTGCTGTCATGTCCCTTCTTACATGCCTTTTCTGTAAGCTGAATGTGCCTAGCTCCTTCAGCCTTTCCTTGTAGGACTTGCCTTCCAAGCCCTTTATCATTTTTGTTGTCCACCTCTGGAGCCTCTCTAATGTTCCCATGTCCTTTTTGAAACATGGAGTCCAAAACTGCACATTGCTGAAGAAATGATGGGACTGAGTCAGCCCTTGAGGGCTGATGTGCTGTGAAATGCTTTGTGCAGCCTCTCTGCAAGGGAGTGAGTTGCACCCTAAATGCATCACTGGTTTATAGAAAATCTGTTCAGGCATTTTGAATTGTATTTAAAAGACAAATTAAGTAGAACATGTCACTGGACTGAGGGCGGGGAGGGGGGGAAGTGTGCTGTACGAGCCAGTAGCAAATCTATGGATTTTGCTCTGTAGTTCTTGGCATTGCATCCTCTGTGCAGCTCCTGGCACCCTCATTTTGTGAGTTGCTTGGAGAGGGGAAGAAGGGAGGGTGTGAACAGGTGTAAACTAGTAATTGTAATTGAAACCTGGATGTGCCGAAAGCACAGTCAGGGGCTATGTGACGATTGCAGTAAGGGTTTTCTGTGTTCACCTTCAGAACTGGCGGGGAGCAAGGAGGGGCTGAGCCGGATTCCATTCCTCTTGCATCAACAGAACTGTGGACTAAGCCTGGATCAGTTGCACCTGGGCAAGTCTGTTAAAGGTAATAGGAGTTGCACAGGTGTAACTGAAGGCCTGAGTTGGCCCAGCCTTTGTGTGAGAAGGAAGGAACCAGCTTAACTCTCACGATTTAGGCTGAGTTAGCAGGGCTGGCACCTATTTTTCCTCATTTGCTGCAGAAATCCTTGAGGCCTAGCAACTGTGTGTACCCTGCAGTGCCACCTACAGCCTAGGACTGTGGATCAGTTTTTTTGGCAATTTAAGCATTTTTATTCAAAATGGTGGGGCATGGTTGTGACAGGCATCAGTGTCACAGCCATGGCGTTGTAGCCACGATGGTCCAGGAGATGCGCAAGAAGTAGGATTAGTTTGGTAATATTTCTTATTGGACTATTTAGTTGGGAGAGACATTAGACAAGGTGACCCTGAGGAAGGGGATTCTGTGCCTGAAACCTTTTTCTGAGCTCTCGCGCGCGCTCTCTCTCTCTCTCTTTCCAGCTATATAGTTAGCCCAATAAGGCATTGGCAAACACATCCTGCCACAGCATAGAAGTCAGTAGCTCAAACTCCAGACCCTCAGTGTCAGCCCCTAAATGAGCATCCTGATTTTTCCCTTCCCCCTGCAGGGTGCTGGGTGCTCACAGCTCTCATTAGCTTTAGTGGTAGAAGTGGGGGCTCAGCACTTCCAAGATCATCTACTCTTATTTGTGTGCCTGACTTCAGGCTTGGCAGTCTTGGCTACAAGGCCATAGGGGTGTGACTTTGTCCGGGGACTAGCACAGGTTGGTAAAGGCTCTCCTTACCAAGGGCTGCTCCCACTAACAGTTTCTTAAAACATAGGGGATGGACAAACAAAGTTATGTCGACTGATAATGGTTGAGAGGGTGGATTACCAGAGTTCAGTTGAACTTGCTGTAACTGCATCATGTGTCCACTCCACCTTGAAGCAAGTGTCAGTTTAAACTGCAGTTGTTAAGCACCCATTTCATTCGGGGATAAATGATTGCACTTGCTGCAGGATAGTAGACTTATGGAACAGTTAATGCAGATCAGCTGAATCTTGCTTAGGAGCAGCAACTACCCTGAGTGGTGTAGCTCTGTCCTGGCTACTAGTAGTGTCCATTCGGCTTCACACTTACTAGCCTGCCACAGCCGTTTTGTTCCAGCTTGCTGCTAACGGTGCTGTTTTTGGTTTCAGTTTCAGATTACGATTATTTCTCAGTGAGTGGTGACCAGGAGGCAGAACAACAAGAATTCGACAAATCTTCAACCATTCCGAGAAACAGCGACATCAGCCAGTCCTACCGGCGAATGTTCCAGGCCAAGCGCCCTGCTTCTACTGCTGGCCTGCCAACAACTCTGGGACCGGTGATAGTTACACCTGGTGTAGCAACCATCCGACGGACCCCTTCCACCAAGCCTTCGGTCAGGCGGGGCACCATTGGGGCAGGCCCTATTCCAATCAAGACCCCAGTCATTCCTGTCAAAACACCCACTGTACCAGACGTCCCAGGGGGACTGCCAGGCACCCTGGCTGGGGCAGAAGAACCTGCTGAGCAGAGTCCTGAGTCTCCCTTAGCAGATGGTGGCCAAGGAGCCATGCCTTCTTCCTCGTGGAGTGGACAAGCATCTGTCAACCCTCCACCACCCAGCCAGAAACTGAGTACTACTGATGAACAGAGGCAAGCAGTTCCTGAAAGTGAGGGAGAAGAAAGTGAGAAGGAGAGTTCCAGCATGCTTGCGCCCCCATGCCAGCCACAGTCGGACCTGGGGGACATGAGTCCTGGAGACGCCCCACAAGGTGAAGACATGCTCAATGCCATTCGCCGTGGCGTCAAGCTGAAGAAGACCACCACCAACGACCGCTCGGCACCTCGTATTTCCTAGACGTGAGAACACTGCCAGAGTACTAGTCACTGAGAATGAACTGTGACAAAACCTTACCTGTCTCTATCCATTCCAATCTGTAATCAAATGATTTTGTAGGAAACTCGGTAACAGACAGTTTTGAAAATACTCTAAAAGAGAAAATGAGAAGAAAGTGCATAGTAACAGACATGCTCCTCACTGGTGTTTTAATTTGTAAATACCAACGATTTTGTTTCTGCACATTTTTGATCCAAGCTATGCTTTTATTTTCTGAAGGTGCCAAATCCCATTTAACTTTTTTATAACTTTGTAAAGTTTTCAGTGCATAAGAGAACAAAGTTAAGTCATTAACTTCAGCAAGGGGATTTAATGCATTTGGCTTTTTTGCAAGCTTTTTTAGAGCGCCTTGTAATAGTGAGGTTAAACACAAATGGGACTTATTTTAAAGTTTTTAAGTGAACCAGTAAGGAATAG